CAGTTCACACCAAGCTCTTATTACCTTAAACACATCTATCATCTATCTTAACACAGGGGATGCTCCAAGTGAGAGTCCAGTAGTCTCCTTCCGCCTCAAAGCGTTGTCGTTTTAGATGCGGACACCCCTCAATGTATAGTCCTCCAAGTGAGGGAGGGAAGGCTTCCCTTGGCAAAGATCGTAGCTTTGGGCAATGAATAAGCGATAACTTTTGAAGGGAGCTTAGGTTTTGGAATAGCCCGCCAGGTATGGATTCCAAATTTTCTTCTTTCTCGATTTGAAGATAGGTTAAAGAAGAAGGCAGCACAATATTCAGAGGGAATTTCTGCTCAATTGCCAACGATTGAAGAGATGTAAGGTTTTGGAGGCCCATCGTCAAAGTGCTACCTGGGATTCTTATTCTGTGAAGTGATGTGAGCTGGTACATTGTATTTGGCACAAACTTGAGATTCTCACACCTTTCAAATTGAAGTTCTATTAAGTTTGGGGGCAAACCCCCATCTGGAATGAACTCAATCCTGGGGCAACCAAACATCCATAGCTTTTGAAGAGATTTCAACTGGTACATTGTATTTGGGAGGGATTTGAAATTCTCACACCATCCTATCACCAAGAAATTAAGATTGGGGGTGCATAACCCCAACTCTTCTGGTAAGGACTCTAAAACTTCACAGCTGGAAATAGTTAAGTCAAGGAGATTGCTGACACAATCGAGGTTGGGTAAACTTTTCAATATTTTACAGTGTTGAATAGTAATGGATTGGAGTTCCATACAATGTTGCAGCATCCTCTTTGGAAATGATTCCAACCACTCGCCACCATTAGTAACTGTAAATTTCTTGAGAAAAGCTGGTAGTTGATGACAACTACCCTGAGAAGAATACAAACATGGAAGATTACATATTTCCAAATGTAGATTCCTATTATTATAGTCACCATCAACATCCGGTAGAGACTCAAGACCTTCACAATTTTTTATTATCAAATATTTAAGTGATGTGGGTAATTTGCCTCTCGGAAACAACTTGAGAGAATCACAATCACAAATTTCCAACCTTTCTAGTCTCGACATCAACATGCTAGTGCTTCTGCTACTGCTTCCATCCATCCTTGTCATCATTGCATCAGGTAATGACTCCAAAGCTCTACATTTCTCAAGCTTAAGATGTTTAAGATTGAAAGGCAAGAGGCTTTGTTCTATTTCTGTCCCTTCCTCCCACAAAGAAGTAAGATTATAGCAATTTCTAATACCTAAAGTCTCAAGTGCTGTCAAGGACTGTGTAAAACTCTTTGGCAAGCAAGTCAATTTTATAATATGATGTATTCTCAAGTTAGTGAGGGAAGTGAGATCAACCATGCTCTTCAAAAGCACCTCGTTGCAATCTCTAATAAACAACTCTTTCAATGATGGAAGACTCATATTCATAGGCAAGCAAGTCAGTTCTAAAATTTTCTCAATGCTCAAATAAGTAAGTGAGGTGAGATCACCCAGACTCTTCAAAAGCATCCCGTTGCAGCATCCAAACAACTAAGCATTTAAGTGAAGAAAGGTTGTTGGGTAATTGTCCTAACAACCTAGGACAATTTTGAATCAGAAGGCTACGAAGACGAGGGAATTCACCTTCACTTCCAGCAAGAGAAGTCCATTCCTTCCAATTTAACATGTTTTCAAACAACAGTTCCTCTAGTGATGGAAAACAGTCTTGTCTCCCATAAAACTCATAACCTACAGCTTCTATTGCCTCCATACCTTTGATAATCAATTTTTTGAGAACAGGTAATAAGCCAAGTGATGGTAACAAAGTGCATTTCTTACAATTGTTGAGCTCCATGGATGATAAATTGAAAAATAATAATGGATCACAAACCCAAGGAGGGAAATTCTTGCCACCATAGCAAGAAATTTTGAGATTTTTCAAATTTGAATGAGGTTTTAACCAGCTAAGGACTTGCATTTCAAGGACTAATTCATCTCGATGATTCTTAGAAGTAGTCCACTCCAAGACTAACTCCTCCAGACCATGGATCTTGTCTAGGTTGGCCTCCCTAGCATCTTGAACATCCAAAACATTATGTAGATCTAGCATAGACAGTCTTCCTCGAAGTTGTGACAAGTTCTTCAACTCAGATAATCTCATCATTCCACTTGCCTTCCCCACTATAAATTTGGACAATGTTACAAGATTTTTAAGATTGCCTATTCCTGATGGCATCTCTTTTAAAGATGGTGTAAAAGTGATATCAAGATGATGGAGATCAATTAGATTCCCAATCGTTGTAGGCAACTTAGTAAGCTGATAACAACCATGTAATAATAGTGTTTGTAGGAAAAAAAGAGAACCCACTGATTCAGATAGACATTCGATAAGTGTATTAGACAAATCAATGTATCGAATATGTTTCAAATTTTCAAAAGAATCTGGTAGCTTGCTTATCTGATAGGAGCAAAGAGATAGCACTCTTAAGCGATTTGATGTTGGTAGGAAATCAAGCAAGAATCTTTTAGGCAAGTAAAACCAAGTGTTGCGGCCACAGAGTGGCAAGAATGTTCTCAAATGCTTCAATTTATCGAAGACTCTGAATCTCTCTGAGATTTCATACTTGTGTGGAGTGAATGACAAATGACGAGCTTTCTCTAATTTTTCATCACCCATGATACGTTCAAGATTGCAATATATTTTTCCAGCAACATCTACAGCTAAATCATTTATAAGGTCATGCATCACAAACCGCGATTCATCTCCACTTGACTGTTGAAAGAGTGATCTTAAGAACAACTGATCGAAATATTGATAACCAATCTCCTCTTCCATTTGCTTCTTTTCATGTGACTGTTGCTGTAACAAGCCCTTAGCCATCCATAACAAAACCAACTCCTTTTTGTCAAATTCATAGTCTTTAGGGAACAAAGCACAATAAGCAAAGCATCGCTTCAAGTGAGGAGGAAGATGATTGTAGCTCGATCTCAGAGTAGGAAGAATTCCACTTCTATCTTCTGATGGATTCCATATCTCACTGTTTAATATATTTTCCCACTCATTATGACATAGCTTTCCTCGCAAGATGCCACCAAGTGTTTTTAGTGCAAGTGGCAATCTTTTGCACTTCTTAACAAGTTTCTCACCAACATCTTGTAAGTATGGGTGCGCATCAAAGTTCCCTTTCCCCAATGCGTGTTGTGTAAATAATGGCAAACAAGCATTGTCTTGTAGTAATTCTAAATTGTAAACTCCATCATCTCCTCTCATCATCATCCCAACTTCCTTATTTCGAGTTGTGACTATTATTTTACTTCCAAGAGCTCCTGACATGAAAGGTCTCTTTAAGACATCCCATAGTCCATATTTCTCATTCCAAACATCATCCAATACAAACAAAAACTTGTGCCCAGATAACTTTCCTTTCAATTTCTCTTGAAGCAAACCAAAATCAGAGTTACACTGTTCTTCCCCAGTTACATGTTCTAAAATAGTTCTTGTTATTTTTGGAACATCAAATACATCAGCAACACAAACCCATGCCTTCAAGTCAAACCTACCTTCCAATTTTTCATCATTGTAAATGAG